AAAAAAAAAAAAAAAAAAAAAAAAAAAAAGGTAAAAAGCTGCTTGCTTTAATTACACATACATGAACAGCAAATGGTTTGCTTTAATTTATTCCTCTAATACGTATATTGTCTTTGACAGAGAACTTCAATCAAGCAACTCACATCTCCGAATAGAAGAGGAGCCCCTTCGGGACATCCGATAAAATTAGAATGGTACGTGTTATGAACCCGAATTCACAGCACAAAATAAATAAGGAAAATGATGGATTTAATTCATAAACTCAAAGATTCAATCATTACAATAACAATAACTAGAACTAAGAAGGAGATCCAGAGAATAAGGATAAAGAGAGCCGAGGGAGAATAGAAAGAGATGGCCCAGAGGGAGAAGCAAGAAGAACGGAGACGAAGGGGAAGAGTTCTCAACAATATGCATAATCCCTAGAATCACTGACTTCTCCTCTTTCAATAGAATAGTTCTTGGGCTCACTACTCAACTCGGATCCCAAATTAGTCTGACCATATTATTTGTTCTCGGCCCAATAGCTCTTTTCAGCTCAATAGTTATGTGTGTTGATATACTTATTGGATTGTGTGTGATTCATAACAATACTCTCGTCCTCAATGAGAACCTTGTCCTCAAGGTTAAGTCAAGAATAGTGATACTCACGAGCTCCCAATCTAAACCTTGTCTTTCCTGGCTCTCATACATTAGAAACGTTATCAACTTGAGTGCCATCATAACCTGTCCTGCATATCGACAAAATATTGCTTGCCCTCTTCGCGAAGCAGATAGCGGAGAGCGAAATGAGTGAACCAAGGCAAACTTTCCAGAAGCAAATCCCCACAAAAGCACCCTGAGTAATGTAATCAGCAAGCCATCAATTTGCCTCAAACACCTTAGTATCCTTTCCTTGGTAACCTTTAGATCCTTCAGGATATATTCTGTTGAGCAATGGATTGGAAGGATGGTATTGTACAGTACTACTTTTGGAACAAGTCCTTTGTGAGATATGTTTGTCAACACACACTCAACTTCATCATATTTCATAAATTTCAACGGAATAAGCATCCTATACATGGCAGTTATTGACAATTTGCCATTTAATTTCATTGCTTCCTTCAAAATGAGTGGCTCATCCAGATTATCATTCCTGCAAAGCCCATGAATGAGGGTAGTATAAGAGACAATAGGATGACATGTACTTGTAATTGCTCTTACTCTCAGGAATTGTGTAGTTTCCACATAATAGCCGTGAGAAAGCTGTACAAGGCTTGAATTCTCATTGATCTCTTCACACAAAGCTTATCAACCACCTCGACAACATATCCGCAAGAAATACATGCGCTAATGTGTTGAATGAATAAGGATATTTGGCTAGCTCGTTGTTCATCATGAGCACTAGGATGCTGCTGGCCTATCTTGTTCATGGTTGGAGAACAACTATTCAAGTGTAGTGCAAATAGAAAATGAATAGAATATCTAAGAGTATTACAGAAGATATCCGAGGAACCAAACGTTTGGTTTTGGTTGAGGTGGCCACAAGATCTGCAA